ACTGAAATTTCCTATATACCCCCTGATTAATTTATCAGGGTAATTATTGGGTGTTAAACCTTGTTTTTATGTTCCATAGATTTCCTTTGGTATAATTTGAATGTTCTTGCCTATCACTTAAACATTTCATCATTGCTGTGTTCACTGAAATCGGATGGGATGAACCGAAATCTAAATGACTGGAGCCAGTGAAAGGTTGTCAGTTTATTTTGGTGAGAAAGTGTACTGTTTTTTCACTAGCATAGTTAGGCTGCAAAGATTGTAAATTGATATTCCACCAGGTAGTCCTCGAGACTAGTTCAAAAGAGAGTTTTAAAATGTTGATGGGATGAAAGAATAGTAGGGTAAAGAGAGGAAGTGAATATGTAAGAGTAACGTTGGGAAGAATAAAAATATATCTAGGATAGGGGAAGTAGGGAGAAGCGCTCAAGGAGAAGGAAAATGTCAGACAGAAATGAAGATAAAACAAGCAATAAAGGTTAATAAAGCAAGATTTAATGAATTCACCAAATTTCGGTAGAACTCGTCAGCTGAATACTCTACATACAGGGATATATACTTTTGAAATTACATTGGGAGACATAGGACTGATAAGTAAACAAACTACATTGATTTAGTCATGCAAAAAGACAGGTGCGAATGTTTTTCCAGGTCATGCTCAATTAGATAAGGGGAGAGAGAATATGGGAGATCAAAATTAAGATGAATTGCATTACGCTTCAATGACATCACTTAGATAAACAATTAGTCATTAGAGAATATAACAAGAACTGCAACCGGAGGGATGTCAATAGTAATAGTTATAATAACAATAATAATAATAGTGTTGAAGTGAGTTAAGATAATCCTACTGATAAAGGATAGTTTTAAAGGAATCAAGAATAATAATAATGAGAACAATAATAATAATAGGTAGAATTATAAGTAAAACGTATTACCATGGTAGATTCAGAGTCACGACGATTTCCTTTTGTACACAGAGACCTGGTTTATAAACTCGAATCGCACAAGCCTCTGCAATTGCAAGCATTTTCTTGTTTCTTTGTCTGCTGACAATAACAGTGAATGACTTGACCGCGTCGATATCATGTCCGTAATCCACAAGATGCTTTGTTATTGAGGATTTCGGCACTTTGCACTCAGCTGTTTTCAACCATTTTGGCAAATGCTCCATCATGCGAGTAGACAATCGCCTTTCTGTATGACCTGTGTATTTGCTTCCACAAACACACTCAAATTGATATACGCAGTTTGAAGTGTCGAGGATTGGCGACTGGTCTTTCCCAGATTGTTGAAGCACTCGCTTAGTGGTGTTAAGGAAAACAAGTTTTGCAGCATAATAAGTTCTCTTGATGGCTTTGTCGAGTCTTCGTTTGACTACTTCCTGTATATCATCTCCTTTGAACGGCAAACTTATATAGACAGGTTTCTTCGGAACTGTTTGGATTGTTTTGCAGCGGGTGTTTTCTTTAGAGTATTTATTAATGAACTTCTCAGGGTATCCATTCTTAGATAAGATATCCTTCAGGGATTTTATTTCATGCTCAACAGTACTGTCAGAACAAATTTTTCGTGCTCTATTGAACAGTGTTCTGAATAAGTTCTTTTTATGCTGGATTGGAAAAAAACTCTTGAAATGCATGTACTGTCCTGTCCATGAAGACTTTCTAAATATAGATCTTTCGATTGTGCCATCATTCATTTTCGCCAGAAAAACGTCTAGGAAATTAATAGAATCGTTTTCCTCGTGTTCTACTGTGAAATTGAGATTTAGGTGGCATGAGTTGAATTTTATCAGAATGTCTTCGGCCTTTGATCTGCTTCCACAGGCATTAAAATGAAATGAAGATGAGCTATTGTGAAGATATTTGTAGCGCCACCACATTACTTCAAGATCACATGGATCTTCCAAGAAGTCTTCATAATCTTTGGAAAATCTGGTTAGTCGTCAGGCCTTCTCCTGAGGCTTTTAGCTGGCTGAACGGTTGTAATGTCAGTGAGTGGAGTGATTTACACAGAGAACCGAACCCATAGGAGTGAATTTGAACCCACTTTGCGTTACCGTCACACTGTTGGAAAAGTAATGGTATTATTTTCGCTTCAGAAAGGAAAGTATAAAAACCAAGTTTCTCATTGGTATAGTTACAAGCAACAATCAGCATAAATGGGAGGAATCTGAAAGAAAAAACCTCCTTTACCTTCCAACTAGGGAAGCATCATTTTAAATACAGGCTTATGGAACTGATGAGGATACCAGCGAAGCGAGGATCGGGAAAGCAAGGCAAGCTTTTATCACTCTCAAGTCTGTGTGGAGATCAACAGCACTACTTAGCATGATAAACAAGATCCGCATTTTCAGTGCTGCTACAAGGATCAGAGACGTGGCACCGCATCAGGAAGGCCTCTTCGAAGAAACTACAGACCTTCATCAACAGCCGTCTTTGCTCTATACTACTCAAGATCAGATGGCCGGCCAAAAAAGATCAGTAACAGGGAAGAAATCTCTGGCAATGAACGAACCAACCAACCCAACAGGAACCAACTGTGCAACAAATTTGCAGAAATAAATGGAGATAGGTGGATTGGAGGTCATACTCTGAGAAAACAAACCATCTAGCGAGTGACATCACACGGCAGACCATTGCTCGAGTGGAACCCGAATGAGAAGCGGAGAGTTGGTCGTCAGTGTGAGGGTAACATGCAGTGGAGGAGGTGATGTGAAGAGGCGATGAAACCATGTGAGCAGACACTGATCCAAGTGAAAATGTTGGGAGAGAACCGAATGCAATGGAGACGTGTGTGGTTGAAGCCCTATGCTTCTCTAGGAACTACAGGAGGTAATAATAATAATAATAAAAATTACAGATGACATAACTGTGAATAAAAGAGTGTGTTTGAAACGTTACCATGTAGTAAGTAACCTTGGTATGATATATGTAATATAGCAAAAATATTCATTCAGACGTCTATAAAACACAAAATAATCGATCAAAGAATATTCTTTTCGATAAATATTGCTGAGGCCGTTGGGATCCACATTAAGAAGCCTCATTTATGCGTCCAAAAGAAGTTAGTTCAGACATTATCACTACCTTGGCCATGCAGGTTTGAATAATACAGAATTTTTGTGGAATTTCCCTAATTTCAGTTGACATTCTATTTGCTATTATATCTTTATTATTATAATAATTTAAGCATCTTTAATGAACTGTAATTCCATTGTAATCTTACTTTACAAATCGATATTATTTAAAAAACACTAATATTGTTATTGACTACTGTTCCAGAATATTGTATGCATATAAGCATATATAATCGTAGAGCGAGAAGAGGAAATTATCGAAGGGAATATTCATTGCTCGATTATTTTGTGTTTTATATATTTAATAAACAAAATCATATCGAATCACATACTAACAAAGTTATACACATTTATTAATTTGACTCCTATTTTCTTGTCTCACAAATCTAATTTGTCTACCTGGGTTAATGCTGCTTATAGATTCGTCTGAGTATCAGGCCTCTAAGGAGCCTCTCTACACTTTCCCAGTCAAATTTGTGTCCATATTTATCTGCATGCAATGCTATAAAGGAGACGGATGTTGTGTGTTGTGTTTTGACATCCAGTTTATTTATGTTCATGTTTACGAAGATGTAGAAGACGTCTGCACTGACTAAATATAATTGCTTTCACACTTAATGAATGATAATTCTTGTGTATCATATTGCTTTTATCTTCTTTTATAGTTGGATCATTTTAACCGACATAATGTAGGTTGATTTTTCAAGCATTGGTTTGTAGGGATTTGACTGATTGGTTACAGGATTTCATCATGAGCTGACATCGGTTAGAGAACCATGGGAAAACCACCAGGCAAGGAGTACTGGATAGCCAGCCTAGTTTGGCACTAACCCTTCAACAGTACGCACCCACCACAGGGGTTCGGACACACGGTCATCTGGTTACAAGGCGAGCTCGTAGACTTTACGTTATATATACGACTACAATTCATGGGCGATATACTAAGTGAGATAATTACGAGGAAATCAAGAAAATCAGTTCAAAGAACTTTTAATGCTGGCGAACTACACGTATTATTCTCTACACGACCAATGGTGCTACCTCGACTGAAAGATGAAGTAGCTAGACTAGCCACTTCAAATTGTATCCATCAATTCAACTGCACTTGTGGAGCGAGTTATGTTGGCCGTTGCTCTAGGAACTTGATTTTTCGTGCCCTCTTGGGAACATCTCTCACTATGGCTAAGTAAAGGTGTAGTTAAAACTATTAACAGCTCGATATTAGACCATCAGGTGCAAACCGGTCACAAAGCCAGCATAGAAGAATCCTTCTCTATAATATACTGGGTGCCTAACAAATTACCAAAATCGTCGAAGCACCACATGCTCCGAACACCAGAGGCTATTGCAATTCGCCTCAAACAACCAGTGCTCTGTGTTCAAAAGAAACAAGTTCAGACCCTACTACTGCCATAGCCCTCAGTAGAAACTATTAACTAATGAATTTGTACTATTATCTTTCATAATTTTTCTGACATTCAGCTTATTTTATGTTGATGCTGTTCAGCTGTAATCTATCAATATTATTGATTTGATGTTATTTAAACATAAAAAATCAAATTTATCCTGCCTGTGGCTGGCGGAGTAATAGGCCGCCCTTACTTGTACGTCGGTGGCACAGTGGTTAGGACTCTCGCCGACCATGCACATTGTCCGGGGTTCGATCCCCTGCCAACGCACACTCGACATCTATGGTCGGCCAGCAAAATTTGGGCTACCGATATCCATGCTGAAAATTCCATACTTGTACTGAAAATACGGTGTGGCATCAAGCTGTAATCAAAATTAAAAAAATAAATAAAATGTCGTTCATAAGACTAATTCATTCATTCACTATAATGTATATATAATTGTAGAGCCTGATGATGAATTTATCGAAAAGAGTACACTTTGTTCATTCTTTTGAAAAAATTTAATGGGCATTTTTAATCAGTTAAACTAATAATTGAAAATCAATGAGATGCTCACTAGGGATTGACCCTATTCAGGTAGGTAGTTACCTAGTGTTCCAGTGTGATCTTGTGACCAGTAGAGTGCAGCAGGCCGGGTGTGGGGACAAATACTCGCCACAGATGACATTCGCTAGTGGTCGCGCTATGTCATGAATTGGTAAAAGTTAGAATCCATGGTCTGGCCATTGGATTGGAACTCATTGGTTAAATGGCCTACGAACTCGGTTGCCTTGTAACCAGCAGGTCCTGGATTTAAACCCTGGTGGTGGATGCGCGCTGATGAAGAGTATGAGACTAGGCTGACAAAAGAGCTATCTGGCAGTATTCCCTACCTTGTGGCTTCTAATGGTTCTCTAACCAATGTCAGCTCATGATGAAATCCTATAATCAATCAATCAATCAAATCCCTACAAACCAATACTTGAACATCAACTGTAAATATATTCTCAAGTTTTTAAACTCATACTGGGAGAGACATATCTTAAGACAGTCTTCCACCAAAGAATGGATATCTCTGAACCTTGATCAAAATTTGTCTAACCTCAGGACAATAGACAGAATAAAAATTATCTAATGAAAAGCCAGAAAAAATATCTTTAAAATCCCTCCAAGACTGCTAAAACTTTATTGGAATAGATATTGCCTGCAAGCCAGCCAACATGCATTATTAGAGAAGCAGTGGAAACCACGTGGGAGTACTAAACAGCTCTTTTGTCAGCCTAGTCTCATGCTCTTCATCAGCGCGCATCCACCACCAGGGTTTAAACCCAGGACCTGCTGGTTACAAGGCAACCGAGTTCGTAGGCCATTTAACCAATGAGTTCCAATCCAATGGCCAGACCATGGATTCTAACTTTTACCAATTCATGACATAGCGCGACCACTAGCGAATGTCATCTGTGGCGAGTATTTGTCCCCACACCCGGCCTGCTGCACCCTACTGGTCACGACTTCTCACTAGAACTCCAGATAACTACCTACCTGAATAGGGCCAATCGCTAATGAGCATCTCATTGATATTCGAGTATTGGTTTTTAGGGAATTTTGTTTTATTGGTTGGAGGATTTCATCATGAGCTGACATCTGTTAGAGAACCACTGGAAAACCACCAGACAGGGACTACTGTCAGACAACTGTTTCGTCTCAATTTGGGAGTCTTCATCAGTACACTGAATGTGACTGAGTTCAGTTACGCCTTGTATGATAATAAACTTTAAAGATGATTATTCCATGAATATTCTCACTTTTTTTCATTCAATAAACGCATCTTTTCGTTCAAAGACTTCAAGAGATCATATTCACTGGATTATGGGAATCCTACTGATTATTTACTATTACATAGAACAAAATCAACACCAACAGCAGCCGCCGCAACAACAACAGCAACAACAATACCGAGAAGTATTCACATTTATTCCACTCCTTCCCATGGAACAGATTCCCGTGATATTCATCATCATCATGCGATGATGGATACTGGTTCATACTTTCGTATTTCAGAAGAACAAAAAGCAGCTTTAAAGAATAGAAAATCTGATTTCTGTGATACTGTTCGTCGATATATGAATAAACAAAATCAACAGTATTGCTCTGACTGTCAGATAATCCCTGAAACTCTTCCATATACTAGAAAAGTTAACGGGGTGACAATAAACCATGATAAAATCCATAAGAGAAAAAAGTCAGTAAATGCCAATAAGATCAATCGTTATTCAACAAACTGGTTGAATCAAGACAATGACAATGAGGTATGATAAGTTGTTTATTATATATTATTATTATATTATTATTGTTTCCTTTAATTCCTAGAGGAACATAGGGCTCCAGCCGCACACGTATCCATAGCGTTCGGTTCTCTGCTAGAGTCTTCACCTGGCTCCAAGTCTGCTCACATGCTTTCATCTCCTCTTCACATGACCTCCTCCAAGTCACCCACGCTCTGACGACCAACTCGCCGCTTCCCATTCAGTCGGGTTCCACTCGAGCAATGGCTTGTCTAGTGATGTCACTTGATGGTTTCCTCAGAGTATGGCCAATCCATCTCCATTTCTTCCTGCCTATTTGTTTCACAATCGGTTCCTGCTGGGTTGGTTCGCTCATTGCCAGAGATCTCTGTTGCTGATCTTTTCTGGCCGGCCATCTGATCTTGAGAATTGAGCGAAGACAACTGTTAATGAAGGTCTGTAGTTTGTTTGAGATGCTCTTTATGACGCGCAGTGCAAGTCTCTGATCCGTATAGTGAGTAGCACTGACTTCACATTGGAGTTGAAAATTCGGATCTTATTTTTGATGCTGAGTTCTGTTGACCTCCACACAGACTTGAGAGTAGTGAAAGCTTGTCTTGCTTTTCCGATTCTTGCTTTGATATCCTCGTCAGTTCCGCCTGTAGTTGAAACGATTCTTCCCAGGTAGGTAAGTGAAGGAAGTTGTTTGTTTCAGGTTCCTCCCATTTATGCTGATTGTTGTCAGTTGTTGTTGTTGCTGTTGGTGGTGTTGGCCAGGAATCTTCATCATCACCTCTGTTTTCTCTATGTTCACCTGAAGTCCTTTCTTCAATGGATGCTTCTTCTGCCAACTTGTTGCTTTTCGCTTGCATATCTTCCAGTTTGTGGGTAATCAGATATATATCATCGGTGAAGTCCAGATCCTCCAAGTATTTTGTGTGAGTCCATTTTATGCCTGCTTCCTCATTGCCCGCTATTTGTCGCATTATCCAGTCTACTGCAATCAAGAAAATCATTGGTGATAGTACATATATACATTTATTGAAAGAAATGGTGAAAAATCCCCTTAAAATTGAGTTTGAATTGATTAAAAATATCCGTTTTGAAGAAAAATTTCAAAAGACTGATTAGAATTCTTGATATAAGGGTAAATCTTGGGCACTGTGGTGGTAGAGTATAACTCCATTATGGATAAGATTTTATTTTGATAAATCACACAGTGTTGTTTGTTATACAGTAATATTAACTGATGACCACCTTTCGAACACAGTTTATTATTTCTGCTCATAATCATATCAAGTCACTCACTCACACAACTTCTTACTTCATTTATATACATGAGTGAAATTGATGATTAGACATTTGATTGAATAAAAATCAATATGGGATAATGTACATTCAGAAATAATAATATGAGTGTTATAAATGAAATACAATCAGATGGGAAATAAGACGAGTGTTTTTATAGTCAAAATAAGTAACTTGTTAGAATGTTATGATGTAGGTGAATTGAATTGAAATAGAATTTTAAGATTATTTATTATCCTCCTCTGATTTGACTGACTGGTGGTAATAATATCTTCCATATCTCTGGTATTTGCATTGAGTCATTTCTGTTGCATGTGTTGTGTTGGGTGTAGACTGGATGAACCAGGATTCAGTAATCGATCTCTCCACCTACCTATATTACTTCTTAGAATTTTAACCCTCTCTCACCCACTCTATAGTGTGGTTGTGTGTTAATGCATGCAGTGCGATCGGGGAGCTTTTTTCTAATTTACTCATCTTCTCGGGGTCAACCATTCTTACTTTTGCTAAATTCTTATGTTCCGACATAAGAGAAAATAAAGAGCATCTACAGTTATACCATATAAAGAAGGGACACCTGAGGCCCTACGTAGGATTCTAAATAGAAGAGGAATCATAGTGGTGGCATTCACACCTATAAACTCACTTAGGTAGGAGAAGCTGTGTAGGTTAAAGGACCCTGCCGGTTGACCTAATTAAACAAAATGATATAATTTACAAAACAACTTGCAATGACTGTGAGTTGTGGTCACCTACATTGGTGAAGGCAAGTAGGGGACCCTGACGATTACCACCAAACATTTAACCTCAATTTAGAGTAGAACGCGATGATATCCCACCTAGATTGATGGCCACGTTGCAAAGTTGACTGACAGAATTGAATCTGCACTGATCAAATGACTAGACACATATTGCACTTTTTACTAAATAGTGTCCAATTAAAGTCCCCAGTACAGTCCTACAGGAGATCTACAAAGTGCCCGAATAGGTCAGTGGTAACGTCTCTGACTTCACTACTGGGTAACACAGGTTCGAATATCAGAGGAGACATCAATTCCTTCTGGGTTGCAGATACATCTTGCTGACTAATGAGTGCCTACTAGCATGAAACCTGTGTCAAGAGTGCAAGGCTTCCTGTGGCCGATTGCCTTCAACTATCTGATAACAACTGGATGCAGAACTCCAACCAGAACAAGCTGGGTTCATGAAAGGCAAATCATGTTCTGACCAAATTGCAACTCTGCGCATCATCATCGAACAAAGCATGGAATGGCAATCAAACCTCTACCTCAACTTCATAGACTTTGAGAAGGCCTTCGACAGCGTTGACCGCGAAGTAATTTGGAAACTACTCAAGTACTACGGAGTACCCCAAATATTCATCAACCTTATTCAACAGCTGTACAACAACGGCACATGTCAAGTGACCCACAACGGAAAACTCAGCGAGGCGTTTGGAGTAAACACAGGAGTCAGACAAGGGTGCTCATTATCACCAATCATATTCCTAATTGTGGTCGACTGGATTATGTGTCAGACAGTGGGAAACAAGAACACAGGGATATCCTGGACCGACGTGAGGAACCTAGAAGACCTGGATTTCGCAGATGATTTATGTTTGATGTCACACAAAATCGAAGACTTACAAGCGAAAACCGACAAACTGGTCGAAGAAGCAGCTGGTGAAGACAGGACTGCAGGTGAACATAGACAAGACAGAGGTTATGAAAATAACCAACCAACCAACAACAACAACAGCAGCAGCAACATACAGAGCCAATCACCATCAACGGGAGGGATTTGAAAGAGGTTACTTCATTCATTTATCTAGGGAGCATTGTCTCAACTACAGGAGGAACGGACGACGATGTCAAATCGAGAATCGGGAAGGCGAGAAACACATTCATCAACCTGAAATCAATCTGGAAATCTTCGTCACTCAGCATTAACAACAAAATTCGGATTTTCAATACAAACGTGAAGTCAGTTCTGCTTTACGGATCAGAAACTTGGCAGTTCACAAAGAATATTTTCAACAGCCTGTTGCATACCTTTATCAACAACTGTCTTCGCTGGCTCTATACTGAAGATCAGATGGCCGGAAAAAACAAGAACCAACAAGAAACTATGGGAACAAACAAAACAAGAACCAATCGCTCAACAAATATGCAGGAGAAAGTGGAGATGGATTGGACACTCACTGGCTGAGGAGGCCGTTGAGTGACATCGCGCGTCAGGCCATCGCTCGAGTGGAACCCGAAAGGGAAGCGGCGAGTGGGACATCAGTGCAAGGGTGACATGGAGGAAATCGTGTGAAGAGGAGTTGAAACAGTATGGACTAACATGGATGCAGGTGAAAAGTACAGCACAAGACAGAAGCAAGTGGAGACGTGCAGTTGAAGCCCTATGCTCCACTAGGAACCCCAAAGGAACAATAATAAATAAAAATCTTATAACAACAGAATTATGTAATTTTAGCGAATCAATGCTAAAAGGTCTTTCGACTCATAAACGATGCTCATCATTATCATCATCGTCATGATTAATCATTGAATATTTGACCTTTTAGTTATTCCGTGGATTTTCAGCTACTTCTGTCTCCCTTAGCTTAATGTGAAGCTTAATTTGAATTCATATATGTTAATCGTTTGCAGTACACGTTGAATTTTGTTTTTAGAAGAATTGAGATGGATTCGTTTGAATCGACTCTAGATCTTTTAGTCGAGTTCACGTCTATTTACTTATTCATCTTTGTGGTCTGACTGCGTTCCAAGTGGAACATAGGGCTGGCTTGAACAACAAATCTCCGCTTTCTTCTGTTTTCTGCCGTCCTCTTCAGCTGGGTCTATGATTGACCAAACCCTCTCATCTCCTCTATTTCACCCTCGCATTGACAATCAGCTCGTCGCTTCCCATTGGGATTCCACTTGAACAATGTCCTGCTTGGCGCGTGATATCATTCGACGGCCTCCTCAATGTATGCCCGATCCATCTCCACTTTCTCCCACATATTTGTTGAGCAATCGGCTCTGGTCTGTTGGATTTTTCCCCACCAGAATTTCTTGTTGCTTATTCTTTCTGGCCGATTGGCCATTTGATCTTGAGTATGGAGCGAAGGCAACTGTTGATGAAAGTTTGCACTAACCTGCTGGAATTCTTTTTCGTGGCAGGTCAAGTTTCTGACTGCAGTAATCAGCTTCATATTGGTATCTGGTCTCCTTGCATGAACACCTAGATATTATCAGGAGTAAGAACTCGAAGCTGCTTGTGTGATATTGTCTGGCAGTAGAGTCCAAGACGCAGGTTTAATCTAATTTGTAAGTCTTCGGCTTGATGTAGTTGCTCCCCAGTGAGTATCCACCGTTTCAAACGCCAAAACATAATCCACAATACCCCTGGGCTATCTTTTATGTTTACGTATCAAAGAAAGCTACCATTCAAAGGTGGTTGAATCATACAGTTGACAGCTAAAAGGTTTCTTTTAACTTTCAAGCATTGGTTTTTGTAGGGAATCAGTTTCATTGGTTGAAGGATTTCATCATGAGCTGATATCAGTTAGAGAACCATTGGAAAACCTGAGAGTACTGAACAGATGACGAAACAGCTTCTGTTACCTATCTAGCGTGCATTCTATGCCGCACTATTTTTCGTTACACCTCGAAAGTTAACAATTCTTGTGCCTACGATTAAAGGCATGAAATTCTATGAACTGTCTACTTCATACTGAATCTACAAGTACACTTGCAGTTGAGGTGACACATATAAGTAGAACCAATTGAATATTCCAACATCGTGGTTGTTAAGTCATGGACAAAACCCGAATGTACTTAGTCTGAATAGAAGCCCGGCATCATTCACTACAAAACATTAATTAGTATCTAGTCACAAAATCAATATTAATGACTGCTTCACAATTACTTCACATAACTTTAATTCAGAGTTACTTAAAGGTAATGGATTATGCGTCAGACTGTGCTTGGGAGCAAAGAGACAGGAATACGCTGGACGACCGATAAGAAGATTCTAGAAGATCTGGATTTCGCAGATGGTATATGTCTAATGTCACACAAACTAGAAGATTTGCAAGCGAAAACCAACAAACTGGCTGAAGAAGCAGGCAGTGAAAACAGGACTTCAGGTGGATACAGAGAAGACGGAGGTGATGAAAATAAACAATCAACAGCAACAAAAGCCAGCACCAGGCACCATCAACGGGAGAGATTTAACAGAGGTTGTCTCCTTCACTTATCTGGAAAACATCGTTTCAACTACCGGCTATCGGAACGGTCGAAGATATCAAAGTCAGAATCGGAAAGGTAAGATACGCCTTCGTCAACCTGAAACCAGTTTGGAAGTCTTCCGCACACAGCATAAACAATAAGATTCGCATTTTCAGCACCAATTTGAAGTCGTTTCGTCTATACGGGTCAGAAACTTGCACTGCACGTGAGTCACGAAAAGGATTTCCAACAGTCAGCTGCAGACTTTCATCATTAGCTGCCAACTTCGCTGGCTGGCTCTATACTGAAGATGAAATGGCAGCCCAGAAAGAATGAGCAACAAATATGTAGGAGAAAGAGGATATGGACAGAGCATACGTCGAGGAGGCCGTCGAATGATATCGCCCGCAATGCAGGCCATTACTCGGGTGGAATCCAAATGCGAAGCAACGAATGGGTCGTTAGTGCTAGGGTGACATGTAGGAGATCGTGTGGTGAGGAAGAGACGAGAGCGTCTGGCCAACCGTGGACCAGCTGAAGAGGACCGCAGAAAAGAGAAGAAAGTTCAGATATGTTGTTGAAGTCAGCCCAATGTTCCACTCGGAACGCAAGGGAATAATAAACGTAATGGAAGCATCTTGGAGATTAATTACATGCATCCCAAACTATATGTCCTGAGAAAGAATAGACGTCAATATTTGCTTACCATGGACAACCTGACTTAGTAAAATATGACCAGTTATTTGTATGTACTTTTATTTTGTGTAATTGAGTAATTGTGATATATATTTTATTTTATGATTGTGAAATATACTGACTTCAAGTTTGATCATAGATTGATATTGATTAGAGAACCATTGAAAACCACCAGGAAGTGCTCAACAGATATTTTATCCTAGTTTGGGACTCGTCGGGCTGAACGCACCCACCGCTAGGGTTCGAACCCTGGACCTTCCGGTTACAAGACAAGCTTATAGACCATTCAGACACTGGCACCCAACTTAATGGACAGTCCATGAATTCTAACTTCTACCAATTGGCGATTTCAGCACGACCACCAACAGCCAGTTTTATCCGGGGCGAGTATTTGTCCTCACCGTCGACTGAGTAAACCTCACTGGTCATGACTTCTCACTAGTACTCCGGGCAACTTTATCCTGCAGCCAGTTACTAACTCTTGAAAACCATACCAATTATAAAGCCATCATGAAAAGAAACTACGAAATGATGTCATCTAGCGATATTTCTCTTCTTAATGCCTTATTTAAAATTATTGATTCGTTTAACACTTTTCGTTAGTCTGTCTGACCGTATTAAGCAGCTTTATTCTGCTAAATGCAAATATGGATGCCGCATTACAGTCTTAGTGGGATGCGTACAACTGATGAGTCCCGAATAAGATGAAACGTCTATCCTACAATCTTGTGTATTTATTTATTTATCTCCTAAAGATTAGAAACGGTGCATACTTGATATATTTTTAAGAAAGCTAAAAGGGATCTAGATACTCCAAAATAGTGCCTTGAATATCGTTATAGGATTCACCGTTAGGCAATCATTCTATTCGACAAACATATTTTACTAAGTTGTAACAGCAGAACATGGTGGTATTTGGTGGCAGTCTCGTTTGTTCAGTGAAATGGCAAATAATGCTTGTAAAATATAGGAAAAACTTCACATCGAAACTTTAATTCGCAACAGGTATATTCGCAGCATTCTGCTTCTTTTCTTCTCACATCATAGTTTCTATACTACCCGTCAGCAGTTTCCATTTCTTCCAACTGAAACTTAATCCACCACCACCAAACTACTTACAGTCTCATTTCAGTAGTACACATTGTAGTGTGAATGATGTTTCTAAGATTCTGTACGTCAAAGTGGCCAAAGTGGACGTCCCCTTCTTCTAGGTATCCATGAACATAAGCTAGCCGTCAAAAGACATGACATTCACTCCCTCCCTCATATCACTACATACAGACAACCACGGACATCATTTTGACTGGGACAACCAACGTTCAAATATTAGACGGATGAAACACTAAGAATGCTAGCCAGAGAATTTTTAGAAGTCTGCCTGGTATTCTAGTAAATCGTCAATTAATAGACACACAGAGATAGATAAAATTTATTAATTGATAAGAATGAAACCTCACACACTTAGGGTCAAAGCTCAAGTCAAGGAAACAATCAGTTCCAATACAAGTAGCCTAGAGGGTGTGAAAACACACACACACACACACAACCAAAGAGTCACATTCAAGGTGGTCACCAGGAGAGATGACTAATGAACTCGCGGAGAAATCTAAAAAGTGCCCACTTCAATTCAAATTGAAATGAAGTATGCTCTGAAGATGTTGCCTAGTAGTAGGTCAATAATGAAAGTTTCGCAAATAAACCATCCGCCTAGCTCAGAGAACACAACCACATGAAAAGGTTCGGTACTTCTATTTACTTTATTACTTAATAGATGGCAATAAATTTTAATTATATTTACAAAAGTGATTGGATACTATTTATCTGTTTTTTTTAATCTTAGATAGGTCAAGCTCTTGAGACTTTACGTGATTCTGTGTCACGGAAACGTAAACAATGGTTATCAGATCAAATCAATAAATTGAATACTGAAAGAACAACAACAATAGGATGCCCGCATGATGAGTAAGTTTCAAATTTTACTTTCAGATAAATATTTTTCAGTGTTAAGGTTAATCACTGGATATGCAAGAGAAGGATCATCTAACTCATTGAAAGAATCAGTTAGATGAATGCTTGACATTATTTTGATTGTGTGCCTGTGGTTCAGCGATTGAATACTAGTCAAAACCGCACATGTGGTCCAAGGTTCGACTCCGAGGCGAGGTACTCCTAAACCTCATTTAACCGGTAGTAAACCGAGTAAAGAGCGAAGGTAGGGGGGGGGATGAGGCTAGTAGACCCATCCCGTAAAAGAGGACAGAACCACTGTGACTGGCATTTCAAAGCTCAAACCTTAAGACTTTATTTTCTGCTTGAAACGCTGAGTGATAACATGCGCTAAGACTTTGAGTGGAACCCAAATGCGGAATGATTAGTTTAATGTTCGAGGGTAACATAGAGGAGATCGTGTGAGGAGTAGATGAGAGGTGGTGGGTAGTCGTAGAACCTGCTGAAGAGGGTTGAACAGAATGGAGGGAATAAGCTATGTACTCCTGCCGCCGTATGTTCCAGTGGTAACCCTAGGGAATAATAATAATAATAATGATAGTAATATCAAATCTTTAAATATTCCAATTATTAATATTAGAACAAGAAATATAAACGAACATTGTTGTTGTTTTTAATTAGATCTTCTTCAAGCTTTACTCTAATTTACATAGATTTATATATAAAAAATTTAACCAGTGACGGTGATTTTGTGGATCAAATAATAATAATAATAATATGGTAAATGTTTTGAACATAGTGAATAACGATGATAATAATGATAATAAGGTTTATGCAGGTGGCGACAAGAATAACAAAGGTAGTAATATGTGTATATGTAAACAATTCAATAAATGAATTAGTTCAAATCTTAATGGCTACGTAATACTAAAGGTGGGAGAAGTGGACAGATAATCAGAGTTTAAATAAATATCATAAAACAGTTTGAAAAAAATTTGGGTATTGGGTATATGATATTCAGATAAAGCAATAAGAAGGAAGACGTAATTTGTTTGAATCGTGTAATGTGTATTTGCGCGCACAACATATTTCGAACAATCTGATCACACTCAACGGACTTGTCATAGGGACATATATTAAATGAATAAAGAGTTAAGGGGTGAGAAAATAAATTTAGGTCAATTGAAAAGGACATATTGAAGGTCGAAATAACAATGAAGACCACCAAACCAAATAACAGAGGTAATAGTATATCTGCTATGTTATCAGAGCAAAATTTACCAAGTAAAGTTTAGTGTGATGACGAATTGTTTTTGAACGCACAGACGTGGTTTAAACTTTCTAATTGCTAGTTAAGGCTTCCACAAACTTTAGGATACGCCCCAAACACGTTTCATAGATAGGTTTAAAAGATCTGTTAACGTAAATTTTATGTCCTGTCTCCTCTGTAATATATTTTGCAATCGAGGAGCTAGGTTTCCTTTTCTCACCATTAATGGGTTCTGAGAATTCTATTTGCTTCTGGAGCCATTTAGGAATATGCTCTGAAGCCCTTACTTGCAGAGATCGATGAGTCCTCCCTATGTATGTGTGTCCACACGTACATTCAAATTGGTAAATACAGTGGGATGTGACATCATTTTTCGCATGTTCAAGCGGCCTAGACGGACATCTTGGCTTCGCATTCTCAATTATTATGATATTACCTGCATAAAAGGTCTTTTTAACAGCAGCGTTCAATCTTTGTTAAGCTACCAAGCTCCTTGGTGTACGCGTCTTTCTTAGTGGCAAGTTGTGGAGTGGATCCCGGTGTTCCACTTACTACTTTGTATCTCCTAATAAACTTGTGTGAATAACAGTTACCAGCGAGAGTCTGTGTCATTTTTCTTTCCTCTTCATCAAGTGTGTCTTCAGGGCATATTCGTCGGATTCCACTGAAGAGGCACGTAGGTGTCTAAGGCTCTTTTTTACCGAACAGGGCAGAAACTGTGGTAATTCAGATACTGTGCTGTCCAGGTAGGTTTTCTATAAATAGATCTTTTTATTGATCCATCAAGCCGTCGACTTCATGAGGAGATATATAGTAGTTAGAACACCAAGTCCCACTCTAGAACTCGCCCCTAAGGAAGTCGTGTACATTAAGTTACCTTAGATGTGGGATCATAGCAGCTTGATAACTAGACAAAGATTGAACGCTGCTGCTAAAAAGGCTTTCTGAAAGAAGAAATCCACAGAATCGTAAAAATGTTGCAACATATCAGATCTGAAATTGAGCAATTAAAACAAAAGATAAAAGGAATAGTTACCAGTACAGATTATGATCTTATAACACAGTCCTCCAGCACTGCAAAATCAGCAACTTTCAAAAAGTCAAAAAATAGTCAAATCAAAAAGTTCAACAAATTATTGGAAGAGAAATCTTCATCTCAGAATGATGAAGTCAACAATCCAAAGTCAACGGCACTCAATAAATCAAAGTGGGTTATCAATCTCTCAACACATACATTAAGTCCTACGGAAATAAGTGTATTAGAAAAGGGACTAAATTTCAATGTATCTGTAGACAAGCTGAAACCTGAGGATGTCATCCCTAAAATAGAAATAGCGCTAAGTGGGATAGACAAAACTACGGCTGATGAAGTACGGGCACAATGTGCACTAACATTAAAACGACAAAAATGTGGAAAGCCTAACCTGACAAAACAAGAGATAGAAGCCCTGAAACACCTTAAGGATAACAAGGATATAGTTATCACAAAGTCAGACAAAGGAAATGCAACAGTAGTATTAGACAAATCAGACTACTTGGACAAGGTAAATACTCACATACAAACAGGACCATATGAGGAAATTAATAAACCAATGGATACAGTTATGAATAAAGTTAAGAAATCCACAGCGGATCTTATACGCCGAATGAAGGCGTTTCTAGGTGAGTCTAAGTGGTTTAATTTAATGCCCAAAATTAATAACCCCAGAAGGATGTATGGTGTTGTTAAAGTTCATAAGTCAGGATACCCTATTAGGCCTATAGTTGATTTTAGAAATTCACCTACTTATGAATTATCTAAATATTTAGCCATGGTATTAAATCCTTTAAAAATCCACTCGAAATCTAGACTAACTAATTCTTCTGAACTAAAACGTAGATTAGATAATTTAAAATTAGATAATGAAGAAAAGATGGTTGGTTTTGATATTGTCAGTTTATACACACGTATACCAATAAATATGGCTATAGAGGCAGTCAGAAACGAACTCATTTCTGACTAAGACCTCGAACTTAGGACAAAAGTGCCACTTGAGGACATAATGCTGGGAGTACAGCTATGCCTGACTTCCACAGTATTTAAATTCCAAGGGAAAATATACAAACAAACTGAGGGAGTTGCCATGGGATCACCAATATCCCCAGTGGTAGCAGATATATTCATGAATAAGTGGGAAAGCATAGCGATTGAAACGTTCACCCCCATCCCAAAAGTATGTTGGAGGTACGTAGATGACACATTCACTGTACTTAGAACACAAGATATAGATAGGTTTTTCGAACACATAAACTCGAAGGTTGAAGCAATTCAATTCACTTATGAATTGGAAAGTCACTAAAAGGGGAGCTCCCAATGTTAGATTGCAACGTAAAGAGGAAAGAAGATGGGAAGTTAAACACTAGTGTTTACAGGAAACCCACACACTCAAACAGATATTTGGACTTCCAATCATCCCATCCTATGTCAGTAAAAGTAGGATTGGTAAAATGTTTAGATGACAGAGCACGAAAACTAAGTAGTACCAAAGAAAATCTAAACCAAGAACTGATACATATAAAAGAAGCCTTGAAACTTAATAATTACCCGGATAAATTAGTCAAGAAATATGTAAGGAAATGTAAAAATAAAATAAATAATGATAATAGCGATAGTGATAATAACAATAATAATGATAATGATAATAGTGACAATAATTATAATATTGATGACGACACCAACAATAAAGAGTCTAAATAATCAGTAGTAATTCCATACAAAGAAGGAACCTCGGAAGCCTTACGCAGAATTCTCAACAAGGCAGGAATAAAAACGGCATTCAAACCCACAAACTCAATTAGAAACAAGCTTTGTCGGCTAAAGGATCCTGTAGAGCCTTTAAAACAAAGCAATTTAGTTTTTCTAATACCCTGCAATGATTGTCAGGTCAAATACATGGGTCAACCTAGTAGAACAGGGGCAGTCAAACTAGCTGAACATAAAAACTTAGCAAAATCTAGATTGGTTGACCCGAATAAAATAAGAAATCTAGAGAATAGTTCAGCTATAGCACTACATGCAGTCACACACAACCATACAATAGGATGGGATAGGATGACAGTTTTAAAATCTAATGTCACAGGGTATAGGGAGAGATTGATAACAGAGGCTTTGTTTATCGAATCAACTGCAAATACATGTAATAGGAATGATTCATCACCTGTCCCCGATATATGGAAAATTCTACTACCCATACGACAAATAGGAGAGAACAAAGAAAACTATAAAACTCAAGTGTCAAAGTCGTGTGATCACAATTGATATGATTATGAACAATACATTTTGTTCGAAACGTCATCCAGTAAACAATACTGTTTCACTGTGTGATATACCAAACAAACAAACTAATATGGAATTACTTACTACCACAGTGCCCAAGTTTTACACATATATTAAAAAGGCTTTCTATTTAGCTAATATCATAATAACTGAGAATGTGAAGGCGATATATCCATCCATCTAAGCCCTTTGAATATGCAAAAAATGATGTCACATCCAATTTGAATGTACGTGTGGACACACATACATAGGGAGGACTCATCGATCTCTGCAAGTAAGGGCTTCAGAGCATATTCCTAAATGGCTCCAGAAGCAAATAGAATTCTCAGAACCCATTAATGGTGAGAAAAGGAAACCTAGCTCCTCGATTGCAAAATATATTACAGAGGAGACAGGACATAAAATTTACGTTAACAGATCTTTTAAACC